GGGGGGAGGATGCGCCGTGGGGCGTTAATGACATACACGACCCGACCCGCCGCCCCCATCTTCACGCCTTTGGTGGGCAGCGGTCGGGGGCGGCGGCGGCGCTGGGGCCGGCGCGGGGCCGGCGGGCTGACCATAAGGCCCATAGCGGGCACGCGGCCCGGCCCGGCGCCCGGCGGCACAGTCAGCACATAGCTGCTGTAATTAGTTTACTTACGCGCAAACACGTAGCCGAGTCGCCCCGCCCCGGCCGGGCCTCCGCCGCCACCACCACCCTCCCCTCCCGATCCCCTGACTCCCGCAGCATGAGCGGTTGACCCCCGCTCTCGCGCCCTCCGCTCTCTCTCTCACCCTTTCTCCTTCTCTCTCGCACTCTCTCTCTCTCCCTCTGTCTCCATTAATAATAATAACTCTCTATTTATGGGGAAGGCCCGGCACCCCGCCCGTCTCCCAACAACCACTGGCAGCCCCGGGGCCTCGACCATGAGAGAAGGGCCTCGACTGCTCGGGCCCCGCATAGGCCCCCCGCACCCCGACGGGAAACGTGTGCGCGGCTTAGTGTGTGTTTACTCTCACTTATAGCGAGCGACCAGATGACGCGGCACCCGATCCCAAACCCATCCCTATTCATTCCCCACTAAGGTTGGAAATTTCTGGAAAATTTCGGAAAATGTTCGGACAATGACGGAAAACTTTTCAATTTTTCCCTGGAAATTTTCCATTTTTTTCTGAAAATTTTCCGTTTTTCGTGAAATTTTTCCGAAATGTTCCGGAAACTTTCCAGGGCTTCTTGATTGCCTTATTCCTCATCCCCACTGTCAACCTTCCCTTCTATTCCCCACAATAACTGCGAATTGTTCCAAGTATTCCGTCCTTCTAGTAAGTCTGCATGGAACGAAGGTGTGTGGCTCTTCCGACTCTCCCAAAAATTTGACCGCACATACATCCTCGTGATGAGTTCGTACGATAAGATAAGATGACAAGTTTATTGAGGGGCAAAAACCGTGACAAGGATGTCTTCATAGCGGATGGCGACGCCTCTACCCACCCCGCACTAACTAACTATACGATGCAAACTTTATATGGTCGCGACAACGCTGCACAACTAAAGATCGGCATCTCGTCAATTAAAGAGACTTTCATCTGGTCGACCTCAAAACGTATCCTACACAGGAGACGCGTCACTCGAAAGTTGGGCAGTTTCGCGCCCATTTCAAACATTTGAAATGAAATGTTACTTCCGTCCTGTGAATAGCATCCACCCCTACCGCTCCTGCCAATAATGTACCTTCCCCCTCCAGCGTCGTTTGTTTTTGTTGGGGGTTGTTGGCGCACCCCTTGGTGTCGCACTTATCAGATAATGTAATTTTGACAACGGAAACGGGTCCATGCAATTTTTGTTAAAAATCGCAAATAGGGACTCAGCTTTATCATCCGGGTGCAGAATGAATGGTGAAAATTGAAAGGTGTGTTTAAAATCTCACTTATTTGCCGTAGGTAAAATATCGATCGCGACAGGTTTACCTTCTCCCTTGTATATCTGTCGTGAAGTAACATTTCCATGATTTGTTTTATGTTTCTCATTAATTTTATGTCACATGTGAGTCCAGAAACTATTCACTTGCTCTTGGTGTCCAGAGACTGGTTATTGTCAAATAGTGTTGTGATAGGTTAGGCGTTCCTTAGTTCCCTTTCGTACTTTATTTAACTCTGCAGAGAGATATTTTACAGACGATCGTTGCCAGAGCACTGTTCTCTCTCGCTTCGTTGACCTAGCCCTCCCTGCTAACAGTATTGATCATGTCATTGTTCTGGTATAAACATCAGCTGTATCTCCTCTAGCTCTTGCAGGAAGTCTTATTACAATGGCCAAGAGGATTCAAATAATGAAGAATGTATGATTTCAGTAAAAGAGAGGACCTGGAGCTCCATTGCATGCCCTCAATGGAAGAGGTAATGCAATATGAAGTTCATGGAAAGCCACAGCCTATAAGGTTTCGTCGAACAAGCAGAGAGTATTCCAGGACATTTTTTGAGAATTGGCAGAAACCGCTGCCTTTCCATTCCTTCTTTGAAAAAGAAACAGATATGAATGCTGATACTACTACTAATGTGATAAGAAGAAAGTGTCCACTTGAGCAGGCTGATGAAGAACATACAATCGCTAGTAGTTCCTCTCATGAATGCTTGACCCGACCATGCACATGCCCAGACCCTGGTAAATCAAAAGAGATGTGTGTCATAAAGAAAGTTGAGAACTGGCTCCTAGGCAGGTGTTCGGTGAGTGGCATGAAGCTCACCTTTGCAAGAATTTCTTAATTCTACATATTCAAAGTTTCATCTTTGAATCTACATTCAAGACTTATTTTGTAATAGTAGATTGCATTTATTTTTTTGCTCAAGCATTGTTTTAATTTTTGTTTTCAGTTCATAGAATTCTTGCTCTTTCTAATTTATTTATTTTTTTTCCAGTCAAACCTTTTCCATGTGCTTTTTTATCTCAAATTAATTTCTAATGGCTACTTGAAAAATTGTACATTTATGGAGTCCATTACACTTCTGTTATATCAGCTTTTGCATGATGGTCTGATAGAGTTCTGCAGTATAATCAATCTCAAGTATCATTTCAGAAGGCTGAGCTTATTATGTACCATGTTTATTTAGATTCTAAGCCGCACGTAATTCTAGGCCCTACCCCACCCCAAATTTTGCAGAGGAGACAGAGAAAAGACTCCCGTAAGACCCCTGCTAAATTGCGTACTCAATTCTAAGCCGCACCCAAACTTTCAGGTTTCAAAATCGGGGGAAAAGGTGCATAGAATCGAATAAATACAGCATTATCATTATCAATTTAAGGCTGTCAATTACCACAGTTGCCATCTGTCTATCTTTTTAAGTGATATTTTCTTTTAGCTTCACTTTCAAATTGAGCATGAAGCCTTGTATTGGTTTAATCCTATTTGGCATGTTTTTTACTCACGCATCTTAAGAGAAATATCAGTATTTTGACACAATTGAAAATTACTGAATATCTGTCAGTGAGCACATACTGTATGTACTCTTAACTCGTTTGGTGCCACTCGACCACCTTGTTGTCAAATAATCATGCTTTAAAATTGGCTTGGCACTGATCATATCTTAATTCATATGAAATATTTTTTCTTGTAATTGCTTGCAAGAATATTTAGCACACTGCTTTTCATCAAAGTGATGAATGAATTGCAGTAATCAAAGGCCTCTTAATGCATTGTACTCTGTATTATTTATTATTATTATGATTATTATTAATGTTGTTGCATTGCATGCTGTATAAATGTTCTTCTGTTTTGTAATGGATTACAATATTGCCTTGTGAACTTTAAATATTGTCTCCACTGATAGCTGATATGCATAATAGATTTTGTTCCATGTCAAATGTGTGATCTTCTGCTTAAATGTTGTTGTTTTCTTTCTGATCACAGGATATCAATGAAGAAATTGTGAATCTAGAGGACTCAATGGCACTACCTAATATGCCAAAGTGGCCTCATAATGTCAACAAAAGACCAGAACTAGAAAAATATGCAGGTAACATTGAGTTGTTGATTCTGGCGTCAGAATTGAATGTTGGGGTGTTAAGTCTTACCATTCCCATTATGTTGCAGTTGCTGCCCTACCGCCATCTGTACTATTGCGTGAGATAGCTGGTGCACTCTTTCCAGTCTACATTTTGAATGTTCGTGTGGTTGGTGTTGAGCCTGCTGTAACTGGTATTTAGAACTATTATTCCAACAGATCATATCATAGAAATAGTAATCTAAATCAAGCAGTAATTGATAAAGGCTTCTTTCTATTAACAGATTTGTCTCAACTGGTCAGAGGTCACTGTCCTTATTATTCCTGCAATACTGTAGTAAAAAATATTGTTTGGACCAATGCAGGACCTCTTAACTATGGTAAACTAGCAAGACCTTATTGCCCAGAATGTTGTCAGACAAGTGAGTTCAGCCTTTGATCTATTCCTGGATGGAAGACTTTAGATTTACGCGTCACACAGTGGGTCTCATCTGCTCATACCAACATTTTCTACTGATTTCAGGACGAAGGAGGTATCTAAATCTGTACTTTCATTTAGAACTTCATGTAGAAGATAATTTGGGCCAAATGACAAAAATTATTGTAGAGCGGGACGCAGCTGTTAGGTTTTTTGGTAAGTAAATTCTAACTACAACTTCTATCTGCTGACATCCATCTATTTCTGTACTTATAATACTTTACTGAGCTCTTTTTCATTCAATGTGATTACAGGTTGTACTGTGTACAGATTTCTCTTGAACCCTAGAAGACGTCTTAGGATCAAAAAGCTGCTGGAAACATTAATTCGAGTTAGTAGTTCTCCTCGATCTGCAGCTGTCCCTGGGGTCACTTTTGATGTTCGGATCATCCCTATTGCAGTGGACCACAATGAAGAGGTCAAGTTTCACATGTTTGGAGACAATTCACCACTATGTGAGCTTGCCAAAAAAATGCCTGTTCCTCCACCTTAAAAATAAAACAACCTTTTTGTCAAGTGAGAATTTTCCACTTGCCTTGACTAATTTTTTTGGAGTTACAAACTGTTTTAAATAAGGTTGAAAGAGGAAACCAAAATTTTAAAAAATTACTGAACTGCTTTGCAGCTCTCTTCAACTTTTGGATGTTGCTTTTAGAATTGGATTTACTGTGATATTTATTTAATGCAACAACCTTAAGCTAAAAATATAAAGAGGCCTACAACCTCTAGATTTAAATTTTAAAAATATTCTTGAATCTCTTTCCAAGAGTTTGTTAGCTGGATTGGTTGCAGAAAGTTAGTGAACTTGTTTATAAGAAACCAATGGCCTAGTAAATACAGTATCCATCAATCATAGGGTAATCTTCATTGTAAATGTGTAGGCTGCAGTTAATAGTCAACTAAACATTGTCTTTGGTTGTCACTTGGTGACGCCCCTTTTTTCAGTTGTATGTAAAATTGTCTATTACCGTGTGAAAGATTTTCTACTCATTAATTATTATCCATTAAATTAAATGATCTCTTTTGCACTATGGTTGTGATGACTGGAAAGTAAGTACAGTAGTAAGCCTTAATCTAATCTATAAGAGTTGATGGAAACTGTTCCAGGGGTTATCATATGATTTCCAATTAAAGGGCAATGTTAGGGGTGTCATGTTAATAAACACCATTATTTAAAAATTTCTCTAAATATGTGTATTGAAAAAATTAACTGTTTCCAAGTTAATTTACAGCATTCAAATATCAGTTCTCTGTTGTATGATCTTCAGTCCCTATAAACTGTTCCGTCACTTTTAAGACTTTAAAGGTAAACCTATCTAGTAGATTCTTCCTGATTTTGTGATACTTGGTTAAGCTGCAGTGGCTTGTAACAAGATTTTTTTTCTGTGTGTTCTTTGAACATGCTTCGCAAAAAATTGATCTTCCAGATTGGTCATTTTGATCTCTTAGGGTTATTGCTATAGTTTTAATTTTACATCTTGTTTGCTGTATTTCTCTAGTTGCTCTCTTTGTTAAAAATGTTATCAAATTAGGGCATGATTTCTTTATAAGCAAAAGAAATCTAATTGTAAAAAGATGAATTACTTGAAAATTGTGTACAGAAAATTCATATAAAGTTGATTTAATTTGTTGATTTTAATGAAGCTGTAAAGTGCACAGAAAACATCAATAAAGAGCCAAGTGCAAATTATCAGGACGTTTTTTTTTTTTTTATTATTGATCAATCGGAATAAAGGGCAGTATGTTATACTGTTTTCAAACCTTGAAGAATAAGGTTGCGTGGTGAAAGAACAGGATCAAAGCCCGGTATTATAGAGCCAAGTCCACCTGAAAAAGAATTGGATTGTATGTATATAACTTTTTAAAAAAATCAAAACAAATTTTTTGATAACCCAAGAGAAAAGTGTTTACCACATTCTTGAATATAGATGAGGCGATCTAAAAGCACAACTGTTTCAACTAGAGGTGCAAGTAGGAGGCGTAAACTATACATAGCTACAACATCCTGCCAATTCTCTAATTGCTCAGAAATATCAGAACTAGTGAGATCACACAATGGTATTGAGAGATTGATTCGACTCAAAGCCTTTTCTGCATATCTAGAATCAGACCACAAAATTATCATGTTACAAAAAAATTTGCAGTGGCTCAAAACAAAGAATATAAATACTGTAAGAGATAAATACGCACAAAGGAAAATCCATTTGATCAAAATGCTTGACGCTTCTTAATCCACAATGTTTCATTGTGGGGTAATGCTTAACAATCAGCTTTTCTAAAGCTGCTCTAAAACTGTGAATTTTTAAAAATTTATATTCTTGTGATTGTAGTCTCTGACAGTATGATTCCAAAGCATGGCATGACAATTCTAGTGCTTCATATGTTAGATTAGTGAGATCATTGGGAAGCATTTGGAGGAAACTGCTTAAAGGATAGCCTTGAACTGGGCTGGTAAGTGGTGAAATAAAAAACAGGAAAAAAACACATGAAAACATGAGATGGATAAAGTGCATGACAAAAACGTTCATAGGAAAGAAATATGATGTATGGTACATACCAAGAAGTAAGGCTTAGTTTCATATAACAGCAACTCGCAATACAAATGAATTTGGCTTCATTTAAACTAGTAAAGAGGCGGAGCAAAGTGGCAGCAAGGTCCCCACAGGGGTGAAGACCTACAATCCCAAAAGAAACTTCACTTTCTTTATCTAGATGTAGTTTATGCAGCACCTCCTGTAACCAGAGTAAATGATATTTCTAATTTGATTTCGCAGAATTTAAATAAGGTACGGTCAAACAACAATTGGCTGTCTAAACCCACTTTTTTGAACAGATGAAGGGAATCGTCAGAACATCCTACAGTCAATGTTAGGTATTCAGGCCCAGAGAGCTGCTGCATATAGGAATTGCCGAGATGTTTAGCTGCGGTATATTCAAGCTGTTTATCTATTTCTCTGAAATACGAGGGAGAGTGTCATAATTACAATTCAACATGTATTAATTTTGTAATATGCACATATTAGATACTACCTTGCAGAAGAAATAAGACTGCCTTGAGAATCCACACAACAGACCCGAAGGCCAAAGCCATAGGCAAGAAGCCGAGACAAGTGGCCCTTACCACCCCCAACATCCACAATGTAACTGACTTTACTCTTAATGGCTGCATCAGCACATAGCTTTGCCATGATGATGGTTTCATGTCTCTTCTTTGGCTTAACGTGCTTTACAAACAACTGTTTTAAGTTTTTATTTGTCAAGCATTTTGTTTCCATTCCAGGAATGGTGGTGCTGCTGTTATTATTAAGAGACGGTGGATCACTCTCATCTTCATCCCTTATATTTAGACTAATTTGATCTCTGGACAATGACAGAGCCTTGGTTGACGCACGTAAGGCAAGAAGGGAGAGAGGCCACACACGCTGGTTTGGACTGAATTAGGAAAAATACTTGTGATGAAACAGACCAACCCTCACTCTAAATTGATAAGCAAACTTTCACCAGATTGATTTCTAATTTGAGATTAGCGATTTACCATTGATTCATTAACATCCATTCCCCAAATTCTTCTAACGAACACCCTTTCAAAGCGGCTCTCCAAGAAGAAGGCAACCGCTTCCAGTGGTCTTCCGTATAAAAATCCTAGAATAGAAATAAAATTTCACTTTCTCTTATGACACAAGCAGAAGTTAAAGTTTGTCGAAGGGTTAGGATTTTCACTAAACAACCTTATGTGGCGGATTGAGACAGTGTCACCACAAAACATACGTAAAAGGAAACGACAACCTACCAGGACAAACGCATTTAGAAGCCAGCTAAACTCCTGAATTAGTTTTAAGCAGCTCACAACTATTGTTTTCTCACGGCTGTACATGTCCATGTTGTTGCTGGTTTCCCTTTCACTCATCAGTCCACACAAACACAACACAACAGCTGTAGTCTGCTACCTCCACATTCGCATTCACATTCGTCATGAGACACTGAGAGGCTAAAAGAAGGGAAGTGTGAGGAAAATTCATGTGAGGGAAGCTCAGCTTCCTTTTTGAATTATACCCAACCAATTATACTGTAGGTGAAATCGGTTTTATAGAAAACATTTTAATCCACAAGAATTCAGTATCACAATAATTAACCCTGCGGCACAAATTGTCTGGGCTAGCGCTTCCGCAAGTCTTTGGCAAGGCGATATATTAATCTCATATTTAATTAAAATAAATAATAAATTACAAATGCCTCTCAAACAGTTCTCAAATGACGTCGTTGTACTTCTAGACGGTCTCCGTCGAGTCCTCGGACGAGCGCTTGGAGGACGGGGACGAGACGGCGGACGCCCTGCGGATCAAGGACGACCTGTAGGTCTCCCCCCTCGTGGACGCCCTCAACGAGGCCCTGTGGCTCGACCTCCTGTACAGCGCGGGTCGAGGGGCCGGCTCGCTCTCCGGTCTGCATCACAAGAAAGAGAGCATGGCGGCGTGGTGAACAACCACGTACTAAAGCTGGAGAGAGGGTGCGCGCTCGGTGCGAGCCGGCACTCACTTTTTGCAGCAGGGGAACTCGAAGAATTTCTGGTCCTTTCCAAAGAGCTCGCCGTCGGCGAGGGTCTGGGGTAGGACCTCGTCCAGGGTCTCGGGCAGGAAGAGCGACAGCACCCCGCCGACGACGCCGAGCACGCCCAGGATGAGGAGCGGCAGCGCGGGGTGCACCACGGACTGGAGAGGACCGGAAAGAGGACGACGGTGAGGTGCACAGCTCGACGGGCAGAGAACGTCGTGGTGCTCTCGTGATCGTGATGGAGGTCTCACCAGGTAGACGACAAAGGGCGCGAGGATGCTGGCCACGTAGCCCATGATGTGGATGAGCGCCACCCCCTGCGCGCGCACCACGGTCGGCAGCAGCTCGGCGGCGTACTGGAGCCCGATGTTGTACGAGATGTTGACGCTGAAGCGGCCCATGATGGCGAGGGACGCCGACACCACCCCTGCAACCAGGAGCACGCCGTCAAGGCCGAGTCCATGGGCGGGGTGCACGAGGACCGCGTCGTCGTCACGTCTCTTACCCGGAGGGGCGGCGACGGCGGCGAGGCTGAAGAGCCCGCTGACCACCATGGACCCGCACGCGAGCCATCGCCGGCCCCAGCGGTCCAGGACCAGAGTCAGGAACGAATCCGCGGGCAGCTCGGTGGCCGAGGCCACGGTGAACGTCACGAACACGTCGAGTCCGAGCTGGCCGACGTTCCGGACGTGGCCGTCAAACACCAGCGAGACGATCATCCTACGGACAGAAGAGGCATGCTGTCACTTGGTGGTGCGGGCTCGCGACATCGGCATCCTGGACGACGTCCAAGACAGGCGTTCCGCTGGAAGTACGTCAAACTCACCAGATGACCACGAGTAGCAGAGTGGTGTTGCGCAGCCGCGGGCTGCGGAACAGGTCCACCACGGAGTACTTCTTGTCGGCGTCCTCGAGCTTCTTGAGCTTGAGGCAGCTGTCCTGTGGGCGGGGATGGAGGCAAAGCATGGCGTTCAGGAGGGGGAGCATGAAGATCGCACATGATGGACTCAACAGACTTACACTAACTGTTCTTAACCGGTGTCTGAAAGCTCCCGCCTCCAGTTTATACCGTGAATACAGTCATATGCCGACGTATTGCCTGGGTCGCCTCGGGGATCGTCCAGAAAGTACGTACGTTTCTCTCAAAATCATCCTGCAAACTACAGAAGCTCGGCGCCTGCAAAACTCGGGGTAGGCCACCCCGCAATACACGCATGCACTGCATGGAAGATTGTGCCTACCCATCAGGCGCTATGAGAGCTTGCATTGCCTTCATTTGGAGGGTTCGTAACGGCGAATGACGGACGTACTTTCTGGATGATCCCTGGTTACCTACTCGAGGCGTGGGCAAACCTCGACCTCTGTCAAGCGCTAAAGAGTAAACTAGGAAAGTGGGAAGGTGGGCGGCAACCAGGCACTAAAGGAAAATAGAGGATTAAGTGGGACTTTTATTGCCGCTTTGGTTCGCGGTTGCGTAGTATAGGTACCTCGAACCGCTGGTAGACCTCCGGCGGGACCGTGGTCTTGTTGGTCTTCTCCAGCCGCTTCAGAATGACGATCGCCTCGTCGTGGCGGCCCTGTGACACCAGCCACCTGTGGGTCAGGTCCGGGTTGAGGAATGTGCCATACTGTATTGAGTGATCCGGCGGTGCGCCAGCACCCGATGATGCCCGGCAATTTACAATACTCAAAAAATGCAGGAGAATGTAAGGAAACATTGAGGAAAAATCAAGAAAACAGTAAGGAGAAATAATGAAAAAAATCAAGGAAAAATCAAGATTTTTTTTTTTACAGAAAAGTCGGAAGAAATCAGAAAAAATTTGAAAAATTCAGGTAAAACAGAAAAATTGATCCAGACTTATATTTATAGTAAGCGTGGTTACCGCGCGCTCTCCGGGACGAGCCAGGGGGTGAGCACGGCCAGCAGCAGGGGCGCCGAGGTGGCCACCGTCAGCAGGCGCCAGTCGGCCAGCCAGTAGGCGATCCAAGGTAGTATCGAGGCGGCCATAGTGAAGAAGATGGCGATGGACATGTTGGCGACGAAGGTGCGCCATCGAGGGCCCACGTACTCCAGCACTGAGGCAAGGCGGGAAACGGTAAAATCAAGAACGTCGCAACGGCGGCATCGTTTCGAGATTTTTTCAACATCAACATAGTGGCCGTGATGGGTACCGGATACCACCTACCCAGGATGTACATCATGGTGAAGCAGTTGTCGAAGGCGAAGCCGACCAGGAACCGGCACAGCGAGAAGGCCCAGAAGGAGCCGGACCAGGCCGTGGCGATGCCGCCGACGAAGCCCACCACGTTGGAGCCCACCAGGGCGGGCACGCGGCCCCAGCGGTCCGCCACCCAGCCGAACAGGAGGCCGCCGACGATGGCGCCCAGGAAGAACACGGACTGCGCCACGTTGGGCAGAGCGGCATTCTCGCACACCCACTCGAGCTAAGGTAAGGCAAAGCAGCGTACCATCATAAGAAAATTACAACAAGAAGAAATCCAAAACACTTTAAAATTTACAAAAGTTTTGAAAAATTGCAATTAATTTTTTTAAAACAAATATTTCAAAATAATAAATTAACAAAAAATAAAAACCATATTTTTTTACGATAGTAAAAAGTCTTAAAGAATTTCCTCACCTCCGCGGCGATAGAGTCGTACGGCACCTCGGTGTGGTTGAACTCCCAGCCGGTCCGGCACGGCACGGTGGGCCAGGAGGGGTCCGCCTCCCTCACGCCCTCCAGGAGCAGCTGCGTGAAGTTGACGTCGTACTGCAGGCAGCGCGCGAACCCGGACCCTTCCCGGGGGACGCCCAAGGACAGCCTGCATCAGGCGAGCACACACACGTGAGTCATACGCGCGAGAGAGAGACACAAACAACAAATACCACAACAAATAACAACAAATAAAAAGCTCTATCGTCATCCAATAAGCAAATAACTCTACCCAACACAGGAACATGAAATCCATGAAATAGTCAAGCTGGCACGCGGGTCGGCTTCGACTGCACCAGCTACTTGAGCTGTACGAAAAACTGAGGGAGGGGGGGGGGGTGCCTGATCTGGTCTGATCTGGTCTGATCTAGGGGACTTTCTTAGCCCTGTGCGAGTGGGCGAAATGTTTTCAGTGCATGCACGTACACATCCTTGTGGAGCCTACGTATTCTTCTTGTTCTTTAGTCTGAGCATATGACGCCTAGGTTGAACTGTAGAGTAGTCATCGCCCAGTCCCAGTGACGCACGATGCGTATGTTAGTATTATGACGTGCGGAACACCTTGGGCCTCATATCTTTTTGTGCGCATCCGGCGGCGACCGGGTCACTATCATCGGTATCGCTATCGCCGCGGGCCGTCGCAGGAAGCAGGGACGC